AGGACAAGACTTTAATCTGTGACCATTCGACTATTAAAATTACAGACAATCCCAGGATTTCCCCCAAACACTCTAGGCTGAAAATAATCACCACTTTGGGATACTGTTGCAGTCCCAACCGAGAAGGAAAAAAAAATATATATGTTGCATCATAATGTACGGAAGTGATGTAGTAAGCAACAGCACTGAAAGCCAGCAAAAGCCCACAGAGTTTATTTCTGTCAGACGTCCAATGGTAATTTATGAATAAATGAAGTAGGCCTGCTTCAGAGACTTGTAGCAAACAATGGCTCCATGGGTAAAGCATAAGGCAAAGCTGTTTCATTACATCTACTCAGCCAGAGAAATGTGTCATGAGTCAGTGGATTTCAGCAGGCATCATCTCGCAATGCTGGACGTCAGAAATATACAGGGCAGCCAGATAAGGCTTTCTGATTAGTTACCTGTTGCTCTGAGAGCTGCAATAGCTTGTGTGGAATTTAGGCAAAGAGAGATCTTGCCATTTTCCAGAAATCTCATTTGGATTGCAAAACAAAAAAGACAGAGAGGCCCAGTAAGAATGACACAGAGCCTGTTGTCTGCAACTTAACACACACCACTGTGTTCCAAAAATATCCATTTCCTAAAAGAGGCAAGTGAGACAGAATTACTTTGGAGATTTAAATCACATCAATGATGACATACCCCACATTCATTTCTTACTCCTCATGGGGCAACTTGAAAGCTACACTTCACATCAAATTTAAAGAAGTTTGCTATCACGGTGGTTGGCCTGGAGCACTGTTTACTGTCGTCAATTAAACAGTACAATTCCAGGCATCGTTACAGAATTATCCCTTAAAGGAAAGTGTATATAGCAAAAAGAAGAGTGACCTTCCAGAGCTTGGCAATGACCCCACAGAACGATGTTTCACAGGGATGCTCTCAATAGTCAATGCTGAAATCACTACTTACCAAAAAGACAGCGTCGGGCAAAGTATTTGGAAACCCAGTTGTCAAATACAGAAAAAATCTGTTCTTTAAAAACTTGTGACCCCAAAGTGCTATTTCTTCTTCCTCCACTTACGGTTCTTTGATTCCAGTAGGACAGTGCTGCACCTACCTTTATTGAACACGAGTAACTAGGCCAGCAATTTGCAAGAAATATGTTATTTAAATACTGGAATTCCCACTGCTAATACTAATATTTGTAGTGATTTTTATCGTTTATGAACTCCCATCATAGAAATGCTATGTCATTGAGGAAAAGAAGAGATTGTCTAGGGTTTGTTTTTCAGAGTGGTGTTTGATCTAAAAACACTTTCTAGTATCCATAAAAAAGAAATAAGATGAAAAATATTTCTATCTAGAAAAAGAGCTGCATTGTTCTATTTAGGCCAACTAAGTCTCAAGACCTTGAAGATAAGTCTGTTATACAATTCAAATTATTCAGTATCTCTTTTACATAAAGACCTAAATAGCACCCTGTTGAATATGTTCAAAATCCAACTGGAAAGGAGTACCACTTTCAGCATGTGTGCTTTAACTAAACATTTCTTTGACCTTAAAATCATCTTCAGTCATTTGCTGCAGTCAGTATAATACTCACCTAAATTAACTGAAAATAAATAAGCATACTGTTGTATGAAATATTTGTTTATAAGGAAAATTCTCTCTTAAGTAGACAATTATTATGTCCAGGACAAACAAATCCTGATGATAGTATCAAAATTACGTAACTCCATATTAGGCTACTGGATACACTAGGGGCTAAGCCTGGTAAGAAAAGCTGAGTGCATATGAGCTGGATCAATAACGAATACTTGGTGCTTTTTCTTAGCCTTCCTCAACTGAAGAAACAAATGGTATTTTCTGGTTGCTACGCTGCTGGGATTAGCCTGTTGTATCTGAATTCTGATGATGACAACTTTTTAGATGTCTTCTTCACTAACCTAGGGCTTTTGGTCATTAACAGTGTTTTACAAACACTGTACCATAAAACTAAATAAAGTATTCGAATGTTATTTTTCAATGTATAAGCCTTGAATGTCTTAAATATGGTATACTTCATAAATTAATAAAATAATTATAGCTATTATCTTCTTTGATATAAATTCTAGGAATAGAAATCCTCCTCAGAGAATGCTCTGCCTCCCAAGAGTCATGTCAACTTGGGGACTAGTGGAGGGAAAGCCACCGTAACTTCTCTGATGGAGCGGGGAGGAGAGGAGAACTCTTTGGTGACAAGACAAGGCCATGTATGCAAGCTATTCCTCCTGCCATACAGTTGGACAGACAATCACCACTCTAGCAGGAGTCTGAAACCTGCTGGGTGACTCTCTCACACCCCCTAAATGCTGTGAGGCATAAGAGATGTCATGAAATTCCAACTTTCCATGCATGAGGTGTTTTAGGATTTCACAACAAAATGCAGCAGGCACTAAAGAAATTAAGGTAGGGAGTCTGGTGGCATTGAAAAGCACCTTCAGAAAATGTACTCTTAAAAATGATCAGTAACATACCAGAAACTAACAAGCTTCAAAAGTGCATGAGCAACCACTTTTACTAAAATGTTGGTTCCTTGCAGCAGGCCATATTAATTGCATATAACATGCAAAATGCTACAACTTCTAGTTAAGTTGAATGGGCATGCATGTGTTTTCTTGGAGGTTTTTTCAAATGGAAAGAAATGGTATCTACGTATGCAGAGAGTGAGAGGGAAAAGGAGGAGAGAGAAATGGAGATTTCTGCCCTCTTTCTCTCTTATATTTCAAACACACCTATCTAAGCCAGCTCTACCACATGTTGTTGTTGTTGTTATGTGCCATCAAGTCGGACCAGACTCATAGCGACCTCTCCTTGGGTTTCTGAGGCAGTATCGTTACGGAAGTATATTGCCCCAGCTTCCTTCCGAGGAGTGGCTGGTGGGCATGAACCGCCAGCCTTCTGGTTAGCAGTCAAGTGCCTTAGACACTACGCTACCAGAGCATGAGAGACCTAAAATAGTCCAATTGCAAACTGTCTAATTTTAAAGATGATTGACTCATCACATTTACAAACGAGAGCACAGCTGCCTTTGTTTGTTTCTCTGCAAAACAAATTTTTCCTTTAGCAACTATTTGTGGCTTTAAACAGGTGAGACTTTAAATCTTTTATAGGGAAAATAGTAGAAATATGAATAATTGCTGGTCAGTTCTAAATCCTTTGTAGCATAGAAAAGCTAAGATTTGTGATTCACTTATCAAAGAAAAATCTACATGACAGCATATTAATCTCTTCCCTGAAGTAGATTTCACCTGGGCAGTTTATTAAAAATAACCTAGAGATCTGAGTAATTTTATTTTGAAAATGTCATTTAATAAAGTCTTTATTTAGGAAGAACTTACAAAGACTCAATTATTGTGTTATCTAAGTCAGCAAACTATAGCCTGTGAGCCAAATCTGGCCCAAAGCCTGCTTGTGTAAATAAAGTTTTATTAGAACACAGCTATGACCATTCAATTATGTGTTATCTGACTGCTTTTATGCTACCATGGAAGAAGTGAATAGTTATAACAGAGACTACATGGCCTACAAGGACAGAAATACATACTCAAACTCACTGCCGTCGAGTCGGATCTGACTCAAAGTGATCCCTTCTTGGGTTTCCAAGGTGCTATCTCTATGGAAGTAGATTGCCCAATCTTCCTTCCGGGGAGTGGCTGGTGGGTTTGAACCGCCAGCCTTCTGGTTAGCAGTCAAATGCCTTAGGCACTATGCCACTAGAGCTCCCAGAAATATGTACTAAGTAGCTTTTAAGAAAAGGTTTGCCAACATTTGAATAAATATTAGCATCAACATAAATGCAGTTAGATGGGATATAAATAATAAATAGCTCCAGAAAAATTAAAAATATTAAGATTTTTTTAATTCTGATCTTTTCTCAGAAATCTAAAAATGATAAGACAAAAACATTAGAGTAAGGTTAAAAGGGAGGAAGGCTGTTGAATGTCATGGACACTGAGAACGCCTATATTAGATCTTTAAATGTATCTCCTCCTTAGACTATGTATAGAAAAAAAGGAGTCAATCTAAATTCAAGTCCGATATTGGAGAATTCTATTCTTGGTTTTTTAAAAAAAGTTTTTCTGACACTAGATCCTTTCTTATAACTTAAGATGTGTTACAGTCATGTCTGGCAGACTTAAGTGCAAACTTAAGAGTGAGCATCATTTTCTAAAATCTCAGAACAGTGATACTGTCTGTTGGTTACCTATTCATTATAATTTACTACACAAATTCTACTGGAATATCCACTCGTAACAATAGAAAAGATGCACATTTTAGATACTTTACACTACATTTTCTTTCCTCATCAGCACCATTAAATGCTGGAAGTGTAGTTCACTGTTTTGTAAGAAGTGTCCTGGGCTGGTTCAGAAAGGGCAGCTTCATGTGTTGACTTACCTCACAGCATCAGCTAAAGAGAAATTTAGAAAGTGCAACTATAGGAACAAGATTAAGGGGGAAATAGTAATTCTGAACAAGAAATAGATTAGTTAAAAAAAATTTTAAAACGCCTACTCCCACCTAAGGAGCCTTCTTGTTTTAGAAATTTTGACACAACAGTAGTTGAAAAAATTTCATGTGGCAGTTTTTTCTTTTTGACACAAATAACCACTTGCTTAGTATTTGCTTGTATCATTGCTATAGTAAATACAGCCTTATTTAGATTTGAAACTTGTACCACCAAACACTTTTTAATACTGAAGGCATTTCCACCAAGTCCTAAGCATGCCCTGCTGTGGCAGCCTCAGAGGTGCCTCCCTCTGACTTACTCATGCATTCATACATTTACTGTATGAGACTGTTCTCCTATCACATAAAAACAGCAGTGTTAGTAATTTAGGGTTAGTTTTTGTTTTTTTTTAAATATTATTTCATTCAAAATGGATGTGAAACTTACTGGCATACCTAGGCTGCAGCCCCATGCAAGCAAGCAAAAAGCAAAATATCAAAAATGGAAGATAAAGATAAACTGGCTAGCAGGCAGCTAAACTCACCCTTTTGTACAGCCTATGGTCCACCAGGGGGCTTCAGACAGTAAAACAACACCAAAGAGCTATTAGCATATGAGTGTCACAACAGAACCTTATCAACAGCTTTAAATTCAACAAAAAAGAACATAAAGTGGCTCCCCCCACCCCCACCTTTTTTTTCTTTTTTGGAAGGAAAGAAAAGAGTGGTGGGTGGTGGTGGGGTGTGTGAAATGAATAGGTAGAAAATTCATCAATTTATCTTTAAGTATAAAAACGTTGGGGTCATACAACTTACGCAAAATCCTTAATAAATGGGACATTTCTTATTGATTCCTGAAGCCACTACCTACCTACATTTTGATGGGGTATCATAGAAGATTTTCTCTTTTAGTATATATTTTAATGATTCTAAGAGATGGTAAACGTGACATTTTTTTCTTAAGATAACATTAAATAATACAGACTGGAAACAGGCGTATATACATCGAGGGGAAAATAAGATTTTAAAATAAACTTTTAGGAAAAGATTTGGATAGATTTTTATGATTTCTTCAAATTCCTTAATTGAATATACAGGAATGGGAAATGCGTATTTATCCTATACTGTCAGTATGCAAAGGTTAATAAAGTTTGCCTGCACATTTTTCTCACATCTGGACTACAAAAGGGCAAGGAAAGAAAAGCACCGACAGTGGTCTTTATTTCATTCCAAATAATGAACAGAAATTCAGAGCCCATAATCTGATGTTCTCTTCAAACCTTGTGAGCATTATTAAGAGGTTTATCTTAGTTACAATATGAACCCAAGAAAGGAAAAATTGTCATAAAATTCTTCCCTACTGATTTACAGAAAGTCAGGTCTAAAACAAGAGTAAAAGGATTTCTTTGTTCAACAGACTTTGGGAGGCAGTCTTTTATGCCTTTATCTTCTGTTGAAATAGCTGGCCCTCTCATCTCACCCCATGTAAGCTCAGGGCAAAACTTGGGCAAAAAAAGAAAGTGTGGGATTTTATATCTTTTTGCTCAAAATCATTACTATAAGTATGTTCAAAGTCTAATGAGACTAAAAGAAATTAGGAAAAAAGTATAGTATGATTTAATGTGGGAACGTTCTGCTTGTTTGAGGTGGCCTACAGAAAATCTGTCTGTAAAGTATTAACCACCATCTCATGAAAGAAGAGATGTCTGTGTGCTTTTGCTCTAAGTACTCCAAGGCTACATGGTTCCAGGACTGAAGCGTCTTCTCCTTGCACAGGTGAGAGAGAACAGGGAAAAAAGGAGCCTGAGCACATATACGAATCTAGGGAAAAGTGCCTGGGTAAGCCCTTGGGATTGCCACCAAAGGGAGAAAGACAGCGATGCTCTTTGGTTATAAGTATGCTAATGCCAATAAAAGGTATGACTGAATAATAAAGAAATAAGACTGACTTTTGCTAAGCCCTATAGAATGAATAACATTGCTTCATCACCCCCCGTTTTGATGTGCATTTCCTACCAGGACTTCCTGTTTTAGAGGATTGGTCATGGGTTTCTCTTTATCTGTGAGCAATCATGGGGGCAAAGGCCCCTCATCACTGCACGGGGTGCTGAGGCTTATGGTAAGGGCCACTCAGCACCCTCCTTAGCCTTCTAGCTGGAGAAGAATGCCAGCTCAGCCCTACAGGAGTGCTCCTGGGAAAGCTTTCACTACTGTCACTAAAGTGGCTGTGCCCACTTCCTTCTATAGTCACATACATAAGTCCTTCTGCAGATTTAAGGGGAGGCAAAAGTAAGCAGTTAAACCCTAGTAAGTCTCAAAAGCCTGAATACTTTCAAAGTTAGCAACCAGATAGTTTGAGGAGCAAGAAAAAACAAAGCAAAATGAAAGGTCGGAGGATTTAAACTGAATGTGAACATTAGGCCTTTGACCAAGTTACACAGGAGGAGGAAATACGACCTTAAAGAGCCTGCTTCAGGGTTTGGTTCTACAGAATGCACAGCTCCTGATGCTAAGAAACCACCAGACCACAAGGATGGTCATCTACACACAGTGCAGATGACCACTGTCACAGATGTCAGACTGGAATATTAACCTAAATAAAGAAAAATAAAAAAAAAAAAACACTTCTCACCAGCCCCCCAAAGGCTAAGAACCTAGTCTTCATAAAGGCAGCTACGGACTGGAAGAAATACAGAGAAACTCTTCCAACTTAGGTCTGTGGAGGCTCGAGCTCCAGGAGCCCATTTCCTTCTCACTGAAAATCCCCTGTGATCTCAGATGTCCTTCCTTTCCTCTGTAATTTCATTTTAATCATTATTTTCTCCTGTCCCTCTCATCACAGACTAGTGCTAGTTGACAACGGAACATGCTGGCGATTACATATCCAGCAGAGGGCGCCAGCTATTCAAGTGGAAACTCCACGCCAGAAAACGTGGACGGAATTCTCGGTTTTCTCTCCTTCCCATGAAAATAAAATGTCGTTGATTTTTCTGCTTGGATACACATTAGTATAGTAGGGCTCAAGATGAAGAACATACTGCAATGTGGCATACAAACAATAGACTAAAGAGAAACTTGGAATTAAAAGCTACTCCAACTATACACTCTTCCAGAAGGAAGACTGGGCAATCTACTTCCATAGAGACATTGCCTCAGAAACCCAAGGAGGGGTCGCTGTGAGTCAGCACCGACTCGACGGCAGTGAGTTTGGCTTTTTTTTTTTTTTAACTAAGCTGTCCATACACTCAAATTAAAACTGAAAAACACTGGCACGAATCTCCACTGTCCAACATACACGGCACAGTCTGAAACAGTTACCATAGTTCCAATAGCAGCAGTTTAGTCCCTAAGGAAAGAGCACTATTATCTTGTAATTTGGGACGCTGACCCTGGTTATTTGCTGGGGAGATTAGCTTCACATGGGTGTTAATGAGTGGTTAAGATTTGGGTTGTTTTGTTCTTCTTGATGAATAAAATGTATAGAGGAGGATGAATGTACCTGTGGCGACAGCGGCGTAGAAACCTCATTATTTTTCGAGCAGCTTGGTCCTGCTTTTTGGTTAGCAAACTGCTCCTGAAAAAGCCAGAGTATGACTGTCACAAGGGTTCTGTAAAGCCTAATAGACACAAGCTGAAAACAGGTCAGCAGTGAGAAAGGACTCTTAACGCAACAGCTCCCAGGCAAATGCAACAGCACCAGCACAGGCTGCCTTCCTAGGGCTGTGTTTGGGAATCTCTGTGAGAGGGGCAAGGAGGGAGTAGGTAAGCATCTTCACCTAGTTTCATGGACAACTATGTAAATACTGAAAATAAGATGTCACTTAAATGTCCCTTCATGACTCCTTATAAGTTTATTTCATTGAAAAAGGCATTAAGCAGACTTTCTTACTTTAGAAATCATTTCTCCTGAGTTTGATACTCCCTTTGGAGTATTAGGAGCTCTGGTGGCATAGTGCCTAAGGCATTTGACTGCTAACCAGAAGGCTAGTGGTTCAAACCCACCAGCCACTCCTTGGAAGGAAGATTAGGCAATCTACTTCTGTAGTGATACTGCCTCGGAAACCCAAGGAGGGATCGCTATGGGTCGTATCCACGACTCGATGGCATTGAGTTTGGTTTTTGTTTTTGGTTTGGAGTATTATTTTGTAAACTTCTTATATCAGTGTCTTTCACTTGCCTAAAAGTTTTCATTACACTCTCTAAAATGCAACTGCTTCACCCTAATGACTCTTTCAGGAGCCCTGGAAGAGGGCTTACAGTGGTTAAGTGCTAAGCTGCTACAGGAATGGTTGGCAGTTCAAACCCACCAGCTACTCCATGGGAAAAAGAGGAGGCAGTCTGCTCCCATAAAGATTTACAGCCTTGGAAACCCTATGAGGCAGTTCAACTCGAAGACAATGTTTTGTTTTGTTTTAGATTACTCTTCCAAAGTCTTAGGGGTGGTAACTCTACAATTTAGACTATTATAATCAGAGGGTCACCTTTTTGAATAGCTACTTTGGTTCTGCCAAAATCTGATATAAGTTAGAATGAGGTGGAAACACAAAAATAATTGTTGGGAGGGGGGAGATAGAGACGGAGCTAAATAGACAAAACCAGACTGACATACTGGCATAACTATACAATGGCACAACACCGAGCAGGATCTGAAAAGAGACTAAGTGCCAAATGCTTTAGGCCCTACAGACCCCAATGCTGGCTGCTAGCACAGGCCAGTTATTTCAGCTAAATCAAGAGTTCTCGTCCCTAGACAGCTTCACCTCTGTGAAACCATCTCGACCCACCTGAGTTTCTGTTGTACAATTACAGCTGTCCGGCGAGCCTGCCGTCTTTTGCCACACTTCTTATAGCTCCGGTAATACTTCTGGATCAGCACAGCAGCACGTCGGCTCTGCTGGAACTTCTTTTGTTCATAGTAACTTCGGAATTTGCTCTGGATGAGGATGGCAGCCTGTGTCATCTTTTTATAAAGTGCATACTGCAGAGGAAACAAGAACAAGCAGGACAGTAACAACAGGAGCCACACGAGTGTGTGTGTACTCTGAGCTCACTGACACGGAAGAGTGACTACTTTTTCCCCTTTATTATCATATTCTCTACTTGGGGTTTAATCACTAATGAGGCAAACTAGGAATCTTTTCACCTACCTTTCCAAAATGCAAAATATTACCTTCAGACAATGTATTGGCTTAATTGTGCCTTTTGCCCAAACAGCAAAATATTTTGCTGTAATTACCCTCCTTGCACAGATAATTTCAAAAAGCAATATGCATAGACATTTACAAATCTTAAAGTCATATGGAAGTAAGATTTTAAATGTGTAATATTTACCAACCAATTTTGAAACAATTTTAATTAACCTTTTTTATGCCTCCCAACTCCCATGATATACAACTCTACTTAGCAGTCAGCATCCTATTTTTATCATTCCATATGACAAATTTCTGACTGAGTTACAAGGTCCCAAACACAAGGCTTATCATGAAACGCTGACACCTTAAAGCTATTTAAAAGCTATTTCAACCTGCAAGAGATGGACACTCAGAAGACCAACACAATGTGAAGTAATGAAACCCGGCAAGGTGTCACAGGGCCGGGGACTGCTCAGGAGCCAGCACCAGCAGCCCCCCACCCCGCCTGCTGCAGAGCTGCAGAAGGGGAGATGAGGCAGCAAAGGACTGAGCTCTCTTCAATACCAGTCTCCAGGCACTGAAAATACAGAGCTCTATTTAAAAAATGTTACCCAAATTTCTATGAAATAGAAAATGACTCTGGGGGCAAGAAGTCAAAATGAAACCCTTTTCCTTCAAGAAGGAGACTTACCATTATAAGGAAAAATATTCCTCAGAAAATCCCTGTGCCTAGGGGTATGTCTCGATGTATGAGGTGGTGGAATGAAGGGAAGAAAATGACTTCTCAGAATGTCCAAGAAACAGGACCATTCTGAGAGAATCTGCTTGCCTGCTCTTCATTTTCATTTGTACAAAAGTGTTTTAAGACAAGACCACTGTATCCTACAGGGCCCTTGTGATTTTCATCTTGGTCTGTATATACTGCAAACTCCGAACCTACTGGGCCACAGTGAACATGTAGCTAAAAAGGTCAATGTACTTCATCACTCACTGGGCAAACAGGAATAGGCTAACAGGATGGATTCTGTAGCCTGCTACTAGCCAAGCAAATGTCCAATAATTACGAAGGACAAAACACACTCCAAATGAATAATCATGTGGCCCTCAGAGAACAGGTACAGTGGGGCTCAGGGCCCGGCCAATGGAGTATGTCTGCTTCATGAATGTGCCATATTATGGCTCCTCTCTGGGTAGGTAATGGGTGTGAAGTTTGTGACTCTGGTGGAATGATTCGTGAGAGGACTTGGGTTTATCATTACCTTCAAGGCTATCCATGTCAGCTTGGGGGAGAAACAGAAAATACAAGATTAATGTTAGATTGCTGAATATAATGAAATTAAAAACCAGAACCAATAGAACTCCCAACCAAAAAAAAAAAGACAACCTGGCTATATTAACTTCTCTAAAAAATAGTATCTCCCATCTTCCTAGATAACACTTCTTTGGGGTCGGGGGATTAAAAAAGAAAGACCCCTCCTATTTTGGAATAAATACTTGCTATAGTCGCACCTCAAACTTCAATTCTGCATACGCCTAATGTGAAGCCTGCTTATCAAACAGAAGCCAGTACAGCTCCCTGCGGCAGAGCTGCAGTACTGTGGTGTCAGCGTTTACACAATAAACCTTCATTCTCTGGGATCATGAACTCAACTGGCTATAAGCTTGAGGCTTTTCCCTCATTAACAAGATTTAATCCTAGGGAAACTTGAGAAAATGGCAACCCATATTAGGCAACAAAGCCAGACACAGATCATAACAAGAGAACACAATCCCAAATTTCCATGTGACTATTATACATCTGGAGTCTCCAGATGGCACAAATAGTTAAGTGCTCAGCTGCTAAGCAAAAGGTAGGTAGTTTGAGTCCACTCAGAGGTGCCTTGGAAAAAAGGCCTGGTGATCTATTTCAAAAAAAAAAAAAAAAATTAACTACAAAAAAATCCAATGGCGCATAGTTCTACTCTGACATACAGGAGTCACCACGCATGACTTGATGGCAACTGTTTTGTTTTGTTTTTTTGAAATATACATCTTGGCATTTATTCTTCCTTAAATAAAAATTTAGTATCTATGTAAAGCACAACCCAATAAATGATTCTATAATCTACTGGCAGCACTGAACTTTATTATATGAACAAGTCAAAATTCAATTAGGGGAGTTTTTGCTTAGGAGAGGAGTGCCAGAGTGGTCCCATAGGTTAAGTGCACAACTGCTCAACTACTAACTGAAAGGTTGGTAATTCAAACACATCCAGAGGCACCTTGGAAGAAAAGCCTGGCAATCCACTTCTAAAAGAGCACCGTCTTGAAAATCCTGGAGAACAGAGTTCTACTCTGCACATGTGGGGTTGCCATGAGTCTGAATCGACTAGATGGCAGTTGGTTTGTTTTTTCTGTTTTGGTTTGCTTCGGGAGCGCTGAGTTTATGTTAATGGTGGTGGAATAACTTGGAAAAGGACAGTGATAATGACTGCACAATATGAAGGATGTCATCAATGTCAGTGAATTTTACGTGTAGAAACTGTTGACCTAGCGAATGTTTTGGTGTGTGTATTTTCACAGTAATAATAAAATTCTATTAGGCAATTTGGGAGCTCTGGTGGCGTAGCACCTAAGGCATTTGACTGCTAACCAGAAGGCTGGAAGTTCAAACCCATCAGCCATTCCTCAGAAGGAAGATAGGGCAATCTACTTCCGTAGCGATACTGCCTCAGAAACCCAAGAAGGGGGCGCTATGAGTAAAGATCGACTTGACAACAGTGAGTTTTGATTTTTGGTTACACAATTTTTCATATTTTATAACCACCTCAATGATTAGAAAGTTCTAATATTTAGTTAATTTTTCTGAGTCTCAGTTTCTCCATCTATAAATTATAAATAGAATGGTTTACTTCAGATAATTGTAAAGAGTAAATGAGATGATGTATCTAAAAGCTCTATTGTTGTTATGTGCTGTTGAGTCGGCCCCGACTCAGTGACCCCTCCTTGGGTTTCCGAGGCGGTATCACTATGGAAGTAGATTGCTCTAGTACATACTAAAGGTTCAAAAAACATTAGTTTTCTTTTTCCTTCTCTAATGCAGTTAAGTAACCTTACAGGTCATTTTGGACAGTGATTCTGCATGAGAGAGACCTCGGGCATACCACCGCAATAAAGGAAATACTGCAATAAAGTGAATCGTAACTTTTTTGTTTCCCAATACATATAAAAATTATGTTCACACTATACTGTGTGCAACAACATAATGAAAACGTTTGAAATATTGTGAGAATTACCAAAACGTGACACAGAGACACAAAGTGAGCACATGCTATTGGAAAAATAGTGCCGACAGACTTGCTCAACAAAGGGTAGCCATAAACCTTCACTATATCTTCGGTATCTGCAAAGCACAATAAATCGAGGTATGCCTATACTCAGATATTCTCGCAACTTTTAACTAAGGAGCACAAAAATCATTTAAGATGTTCCAAGCTTCTTAAGATTTTTCAAAGATTTTTTATAATTCTTCATTTAAACGTGGGTTAAACAGAAGCTGCACGAGAAAATGGCCAAAGGTCATAGAACTCAGTGTTAAAGGGAACAGCCATAAGTACCACCTCTAATCACTATATGAAGCTCCTTGGAGTTCTGTAATTGCTATAGGTTTTGTACATTAAAATACTGGAATATAGATCCTCACTTCAAACACCAAGAATTTTTATATCAGACTATATCTCAAGGAGGTGATAATACTAAAAGGCCAAATACTTGAACAAAAGTTATTTTGTGGCATTTGTTTTTATTTTTCTGGAACATTTTCTTATGGCTCTTAGTCAAGGCAATTCAAATGAAGTCTTGGTAATTAAGTATTAGATGTAGCATTCTTTCACCCAACTACACACCAGAATCCTTAGTGGCCTGGTTTGGTCTTGGCAGAGCACACTTTCTTACTGCGACACAAAACTGTGGTTTACCTGCTTATATTTCCTGTAACAACGCTGAATGACAGCAGCAGCTACTTCTTGCTGTTCCCTCAAGGGTCGGCCCTGGGTAAAGTGAGAGGGGCAAAAGCAGTGATGATTTTAACGTAAGAAATGTCAACTTTCCTAAAACTTGTATAGCCTCACTACTCATTCAACTTTCTCAGAAGTAAGAAACCAGTTTACCAAAATACTTTGATAATTAATTATAAATTAGGAAAAAAGAATTTATAAGATAAACTTCCAAGTAGTCTTCCTTCTAAATAAAAACATGGTATTTGGGTGATAAGAAGACTAAAAATACTCATTTTGAAAATATTTAACAAATTAGGTATTGTACTATTTGTCCTTATAAATTGTCATATCTCAATTGTCTTTCTTAAGATAATTCCGACTACTCTACTTTTGGATCAATGACTAATGGCTTATGGGGAGGTCAGAGACACCTTTGAGAATCTGAAGAATGCAATCAATTCTCTCTCCACAAAAAATACACATACAGACCCCTTACCATGCAATTTTAAAATTCGCAATTAGTTTTATTAAAGCTTCTAAAATTATTAATAACTTCATGTGACATAACTAAAATAAAAAGCCCATAAATTCAGAGAAAGAAAAAGAAAGAAGAAATGACATATGTTTTAGTTTGAATGATTCTGACTTCATCGATCATCCCTGATCTTACAAATGTCACAACATCAAGACTCTATTTACCTTGTATTTCCGGAAAGCTGTCTGGACAAGCCTGGCAGCTTCATAGAGTTCTCTCTGCTCATGATCTGACAGCGTCAGCTGGGCAAACTCATTCTCTACCTTCTCACTGGTAGATGCACTCAGGAACTCAGACCAGTCTGCTGCTGAAGGAAGGCTAGGTTTCTCGAAAGCTATTTCACTGACTGGGGAGCCTACAGGGCTCAAGCTGGTATTAGAAGAAGGGGTTAGAGGTTCATTATATGAACTTCTGCAACAAGAGGAGAAACACAAATGAGAGATTAATGATTGATTTGCACTATAGCCTCTACATATTAACTGAAGACGAGATGTTATCCACCAGAAGCCACTATTAAGAATATGCCTTCTTTCAGTCAGATGAGTTGCTAAACATACTCAATACTTTCACTCCTTCAATGAAGTAGGTTAAGTTCATACTGATAAAGTATTATGAGTTTAAAACCAAACTACTCTGACTCATGGCAACCCCATGCACTCCATAGGGTTTTTAATGGCTGATGTTTCAGAAGTAGATCACCAGGCCTTTCTTCCAATGTGCTCTGAGTGGACTTGAACCCCCAACCTTTCAGTCAGAAGTTGAGCACATTAACTGTGTGCACCTGGGACTCCATTATGAGCTTCTTATTATGCTAACTATTGAACTAAGTACACTGTCCTGTCCTCATGAACTTTCAATTGAAATGGGGGAAGAAAAACCAGAACTATGATACACTATCTTATCAGCTCTCATATAAAGAGAAAAATCACTGACGAGATGAGAACACAAGCTGAGCTTTGAAAGCAGCAACAGGACTTATCCGAACGAACGCTTTCTTTTCCTTCCTTAATAAGATCTCGTGTTACGGTAGCATTAATCAAATATATGTAGTTGCTCATGGCTCCAATTAAACCCAGGAAATTTATCCTGGGTAGTGACCCATGGAATGTTACTGACCTGATGTGGGCAGCATTTGGCAGATGATCGACATCAGCTAGGTAACTGGCCAGCCAGCTCATTGTACTGCTAATAGTAGCCGTATCTGTTCTTTCCAACACTGAGGACTCCATGGGTACAAAATTCTCCTGTTTAATTCGGTCAGGAGTAGCTTCAATAATGTGTTCTGCCAAGGTCATCATGTTCACCTGGAATCAGAAGTTCACAGAACATTTAGGTTAGAAAAGAACCTTAGACATTATCCTTTCTCCACTCCCTCACATCTCAGTAACATACCAGAATGTCATTTTAAGGTTACTACACAATTCACCTGACTATGCAGAGCTCCTGAGACCTACTATCTTCAAATCCTTTACTCAAGTGCTGAAGAACTTCTGGCTTGTGCCCCAGTCTCTACTCTCAGCAAGGATCAACTAATTAATGATATCAAGACCAGGCAATTCTACAGTAAGTTGTAATATTAATGTGGTGACACTATTAGCAGCTGAACCAATATGGAATCCCATCTTTCACCTTGCCTAAAGAACTACAGTTTTGTAGGAGGCAGCAATGTGCTGAACCTCAGGGGGCAGAGCAGGATTGAGCTAAGTCAGTTATGATAATCCTTTTCTCATTTCCCACCTCCACAGAAGCAGCAGTCAAGAAATCAAAGGATGTATTGCATTGGGCAAATCTGCTGCAAAAGCTCTTTAAAGTGTTAAGAAGCAAAAACAGCACTTTAAGGACTAAGATGTGCCTGATCTAAGACATGATATTTTCAGTTTCTGAAGGCATGAGAGAGCTAGACAATAAATAAGGAAGACTAAAGAAAAATTGATGCCTCTGAATTATGGTGTTGGAATATAAACTATACCATGGACTACCAGAGGAACAAAAAATCTGTGTTGGAAGAAGTATAGCCAGAATGCTCCTCAGAAGTGAGAACAGTAAGACCTGTCTCACTTTGGACATGTTATCAGCACAGACGGGTCTCTGGAGAACGACAAGTGATCATACTTGGGAGAGAGTCATTAGAAAAGAGGAAGAACCCCAATGAGATGGACTGACACAATAGTTACAAAACTGGGCTCAAGCATAGCAACAACTGTGAGAACGGCACAGGACCAGGCAGTATTTGGTTGTGCTGGACATGGGGTCAATATGAGTCAGAATCAATTCCACCGCACCTAGCAACAACCACCACATGCAGCTAGAGGGACACATGACCCCCTATGGAGTGGCTGATTTTCATCATGGTCTGGTAACTTATTATTACAAGTTTGTATTTCTAACTATGGTTCTAGATTGCTTAGCATTGACGTCTGGTATGGGTTCCAACAGGAACTGCCTAAAACAGGATTTGGCAAACCATTGTTGTTGTTATGTGCCATCGAGTCGGCCCCGACTCATAGCGACCCCTCCTTGGATTGCCAAGGCAGTATCACTACGGAAGTAGATTGCCCAACCTTCCTTCCGAGGAGTGGCTGGTGGGTTTGAACCTCCAGCCTTCTGGTTAGCAGTCAAGTGTCTTAGGCACTATGCTACCAGAGCTCCTTTGGCAAACCGTATCAGGCCAAATCCAGTCGGCCACCACCTGTTCACGCAAATACAGGTAGTCTCCAAGTTATACACGTTTTGAGTTACAAGGAACTGCACTTACAACCGTCTGTTTCTTGGTGGTATAGCTGTCAAGGCATTTGGCTGCTAATCCAAAGGTTGGTGGTTCAAACTCACCAGCTCACAGAAGAAAGATGAAGCAGTCTGCTTCCACAGAAGATTTACAGACTTGGAAACCCAATGGGGGTCGCTATGTATCAGAATAGACTGAATGGCAGGCAGTGAGTTTCTTTCTTTTTTATCTAACTGTTAGTAATATGAACTACATACAATGTTGCAACGTGTAATTTGCTGATGTTGTCATTCCTATACCAAACCCCAAAGACAAATAAAGACCTTATTTATAAAGACACTGATAATAAAAGGCAAACAATGAGAACTAAAAAAAATAAAAAGGTATTTAACTTATGTCAGAACCGACTTACCATAGAGTTGTTGAAACAGAGCCCCATTGTAAGGTGGGACCTAAATACAAAGTTTTATTGGGACACAACTATACTCATTCATTTAATATTTTCTAAGGTTGCTCTTGGACTATAAGGGCAGATTGAGAAGTCATGATTCTTAGCCTATGGTAAACAGCAGAGGGCTGGCAGGAAGAGTCTCCTGGGATGCAATGAATTGTAATAGTTCAGCAATCAGGCCTTTCTCTGGGTATGCTGGCTACTACATGGGATCTCTTAGTCCCCTTTCCCCAACTCTGGCTATTGTTGTTGTTGTTATGTGCCGTCGAGTCGGACCCAACTCATAGCAACCCCTCCTTGAGTTTCCGAGGCAGTATCACTACGGAAGTAGATTGCCCCATCTTCCTCCCGAGGAGTGGCTGGTGGGTTTGAACCGCCAGCCTTCTGGTTAGCAGTCAAGTGCCAACTCTGGCTAGGCAGGTACAATATGGCAGGTTGAGAGAGGAGTCTATTCCCTTTGTGGTACAGGGGAAAGAGCTGACCCTGCATGCAGGTTTCTTCCAAGCTCTAGGGCTTGGTGGTGCAGATGACTTGGTGCTCTCTTCCATGACTCTCCTCCTCCCTGCATCATTTCTATAAGCATGGGTGCCCTGTTGAATTTCCAGTAAGGGTACGGTTTTTCTGTTTACATTTGTTTTGGTTTCTCAATGGGAAGCTGGAAAGAGAGGGAGTCAAACACATGTTCGTTCATAGGTTGTGCTTTTGGTCTGGCCCTATATAGTATATTTTAATTAATGGAATTTACTTCTCAACAGCCCAAACTCAAGTTTACTTCATACATATTTTCCTCATTCAAAACGAGATTAATGCCCTAAAATGATTCAGGATTTTCTAGATTTAATATAAGGCTATCAACTATCAGTTTTAGGGATATTTCACTGTATCTTATGAGAACCTGACATCACATATGCCTTTTTTTGTTTTTGTTTAACTTTTTATTATGATTCAAGTGAGAGTTTACAGACCAAATTGGTTTTCTATTCAACTGTTCATATACGTTTTGCTTCATGACACTGAATGCAGTCCCCACAATGTAACAGCACTTGCCCTACCTTCCTCTCTCTGGTTACCATTTCCATTTGTCCTTTCCTATCCATTCCTGATTTCTGAGCTTTATGCCTGGGCAAATGCTGCCCTTTGATCTATGGTCGACTGTTCTAAGGAGTACGTACCTTCTTGGTCTTACTGTTTACCCCATAGGCCTGTCTACTGTTTGGCTGAAAGTTATGCCCCTTAGGATGACTAGGTGATGGCTATGCCAACCAAAGGCACTCAGATAATTCAAATTATATCCATAGGCTTCTTCTTCCAACTAATCGCAAGGCCCTGACTCTCTCATAATTAGTCACTAGAACAGTGAAATCAATCACTCTGAAAGCGAGTAGAGAAAAGATGGTACAGAGGGAAAGCTTTGCTGAGACCTGGACCACTGGCTCTAAGTACAGTGCTTGCTTGATTCACTGAATGAAAATGCAGTCTTAAGTAGAGAAGACACTCCAATACTCTTACATGTAAAGCCAAGCTTCTAACCTTTCATCAGTGAGAAAATTAATGATCTCTGAAATTGACTGTAAAGCTCAAGGAAGCTATGCTACATCAACCTCTGCAGGCTTACCTGTATGTCATCCATGGGTTGCGAGCATTCTTCGTTTTCTGCACTATCACGGTACGACCCCATCTCTGTATTCACCATTTCTCTGTTAGCCATCATCAGGACACTCATTGGTTCCCGTGGACGCACCTGTGAAGGTGTTGCATCCTTTCCTACACTGGTCCCCTTCGGATTTCCAGTCACCTGTACTGTAGACACACCAATGTAAAGATCTTTGGAATTCCACTTTACTACAGGCTGAGATCCAGAGGCTTGGAATCCTGCAGTCTCTGGAGTGGGAGGGGAGAGTTCCCGGCTGTAGTCCCTCACTCCTTCACTGGGGCTGATTGTCTCAGGGACAGACTGCTTAGAACTAGGGCTCTGCTTCCTGATATTTGGCTGTTCCAGACTCAGTGCAGTGGAAAGCAGCTTCTCCTGCCTTGCCTGGAAGTACTCAGGGTTCAATTTATGCTTTTTGGGAGCTGGATAATCTTTGTGGCTCTCACTGCTGTAGTAATTAGAGGGTTCAGACCGAGGTCTTCTCAGCTCTGAAAAGTACAGTAGAAAGGATAGTCAGGACAGGCGATAAAATTAGGAATCCTAAAGAATTAACTAACACTTTCTCTAATGCCTGAGAGACACAAAGTGCAAAGCCGGAACTCAAGACATCTCCCTACTATTTAAATATTCCCCAGCAGCATATATTGTACTCAGATAATCCTCCTCCCAAAAATTGTATTTCTTGTATGGACACAGGTTTTTTTTTTTTTTTTTTTTTTTTCCCCTACTTTCTATATGATTCTGGGGAGGGGGGATGCACTATGCATTCTTAAAGCTAAAAAGGAAAATTAGAAGCAGCAAATAAACAAACTTAAATGTAGGTGACTCTCCTATGGACTTTCTCAGATCAGCTGTGTGAAAGCACATGGGAGACCTGTCACATTCTGAGATGGAGTGATTTTGAATGTTTACCTGGATTGGTGCTTGCAATAACAGTGACTCCTTTGGGAATTTCTGGAGAGCTGATGGCATCACTGTGCCACTGGGCCATCCAGCTATCTGTGTTAGGCTCTTCACTCGGAGGGCAATGGATTCTGGGATTCTGTCCCAGCTGAGCCTGTTCATCTCTCTGCAGGTGCTCCAAACACTCTGCTAATTTCACATGACCCCTTGACCTGGCGATCCCCAAAGGCAGCCTTCCTAGAGAGTCAGGAATAGAGATGGCCCTACGGTCCCACTTATACAGCACGACTGCAGCTTCCAAATGCCCTAGGGCACATGCCCACATCTGAAAGACAAAGACAAAGCAAGCTTTTCAGTAAGAGATTAGAAACATATTTAGTTCTTGACATTGCTGCCAACTGACAAACTGGTCTTGGCTGGCAACCTCAATGAGGTCATAACACGTTAGCATTACAAAGTATCTTTGATAAATGTCATATGTCAGTGGGGGATAACAACGGGAACTAGGTAGGCACAGCCCTCTGCCAAACTGGAAAGATCCTTAAGGGAATAAATGAGCCTATGCCTTACCAGAGGAGTACAGGAGAAGTGATCCACATTCAAGGGGTCAACTTCTAGTTCCAAATCAATGCTATCCGCATGCTTTGTGCTGTAAGGAAAAGCATCAGAAATTACTGCACAAGTTACTCTATGTTAAAAGGAGACACCAAAATGTTGTAAAACATGATAAAACCCCACAAAGATGAAAGCAAACTGGGCACCTAACATCCATGATGTGAAGAAACATTGTCCTGAATTTCATAGGGAGGGTGGACCCTCCATCTAGCTTGTGGCCTAAAGAAAAAGTAAAAGCCTCACTTTTCAAAGTCAGTATCGAGGTTCAGTATTTTTTGGGCAGAAGTTCATAAAAATCCCTTAGCAATTCAAAAGGACAGCATTTGCACAGGAAGATAGCTCAGAGGGCAGGAATGCATAGGAAAGAAGGACATAGGAAAAAGGTAACCACAATGAGGAAGTGGGGACAGAGCTGTTACATTATGGAGATTGTAATCAATGTCATGAAACAAAACGCGTATGAAATGTTGAAAGGAAGACGAATTTGCTCTTTAACTTTCACCCAAATCACAATTAAAAAAAAAAATTCTCTTGGAAACTGTCTTCAGAGCAAGCCCTTTGCTCCCAGGCTCCACAGCTTACTGACTGGCCAGTTTTTTCTCCATTCGTGGAAGTGCCCAAGGTGAAGTTGCATGTTGAGGATGACCACGCATTGTTTGACCCACAGCCTTACCGCCATTTGATGAGGGTCTGGATTAGTGTGGCATAACCCTGGGCAGCAGCCAGATGTAAGAGGGTCATTCCACGGAAAGTCTTTGAATGGATCAAATGCTTGGACTTTGCCCAGCAGGCTCGGCTCATCATCTTCTCACATACAACGACCACGCGGCTCTCAAAGCAGCTCCCCAAAGTCCCCGTTCCGGAGGCACACTACAAAGATAAAACGCATGTGATAGTCTGCCATTTTGTACCACAGGGGGACCTACAGGCCCTCCAACGAGCCATCATTTTGATGTAGGGGAAACAAATCCCTTATGACTAGCAACTCAAAATAGAAAATACAAAATTGAAAATGAAGAAACATGGAATAGAGAATAGAATGTGCCTAATTTTAGCTCAGCAGCATGTTATCTGCAGTAGTGGCACAAGGAAATTTTCCACAACTCTGAGAACATCAGTCTATTACAGCTGACACTCCGATTATGAACTTCATGCTGATCCACATCAGGAAAAGTGTATTCTGGTGTCTGAATTATCTAGTGCTGCTGTAACAGAGATACCACAAGTGGATGGCTTTAACAAACAAATTTATTCTCTCTCAGTTTAGGGGGCTACAAGTCTAAATTCAGGGTGTCAGCTCTGGGGAGAAGCTTTCTCTCTCGTCAGTTCTGGGAGAAGGTCCTTGTCTCCTTTCAACAACTGTGGGCTCAGTGTTCCTTGGGCAATCTCCATGTGTCTTGGCATCAATCTTCTAGAAGGTTCTCAACACAGAGACTCTGGGTCCAAAGGACACACTCTGCTCCTGGCTCTTCTTTCTTGGTGGTAGGAGGTTCCTCTCTCTCTGCTCCCTTCTCTCTCCTTTTATTTCTTGGAAGATAAAAGGTGATGTAGGCCACACCCCAAGGAAACTCCCTTTACATAGGATCAGGACTGTGACTTGAGCAAGGGTGGTGACTTACGAAAGGGTGATGTATCCCATCATAATCTTGCCTCATTACCGTAACAAATATAACTTAATTCTCTTTAACATAACCTAATTGTGCCTCATGAACCATAAACAAAGGATAGGATTTACAACATATCACAAAATGGAGGATAATCACACAACACTGGGAATAGCAGCCTAGCCAAGATGACACCTAGGGAAGGGGGCAGGGACACATACACAATGCAATCCATAACATTCCACCCTTTGGCTCCCCAAAATTCATGTCCTTGCCACATGTAAAACACATTCACCCCATTTTATCCCAAAAGTCTTAAATCGATTCCAAGTCCAAAATCTCATCTTCTGAATCATCTGTATCAAAAATGGTTGGGACCGCATAACGTGGATGAACTTGGAGGACATTATGCTGAGCGAAATAAGTCAGTCACAAAAGGACAAATATTGTATTAGTCCGTTATTGTAAAA